TTGACATCAGTCTCTTGGATTAGCAACATTTCTAGTATGACAGCAGCCTGGGAGAAAGGAAGAACTCTGGCTGCTTTTCTTATCTCTAGATAATTTTGTACCATCATAATAGATAATTTTGTTTGGTTGGGTGATGAAAGCTTTGTGTTATTACTCTTTTCTCAGCGCATGGCTTTCTCCTGACCTCTTACATGTTTTGGCTCCACCTGGGGGCTCAAACAAGCCCCGGAGTGAATTTCGAGGCTGCTGACTGCCCTGTATGCATTAGGAACAGCTGCAGAGAAGAGCTGCACTCTAGTTGCCCAGAGTTCTGTCAACAGACTAGGTCAGAGAAGGTTAAAGTAATGGAAGGCAAAAAAAAAACCATTGATGAGCCCAAATGCACTTTGATCCTGTGAACTGAATTGAATAGAACTTTTTATTTTTCTACCCTGCTGTGCAAACCTGCATGTTCCATTTGAGAAGCATGTTCTTATTTGCACATTCCTTAGTCTTTGTTCCTTCTTCTGCCTCTACAAAGTAGTCTACTGTAGAGTCAGTCTTGATTATAAAACTGCTGATAATACTTAATTGTGCCTGGTTTGTTTGTTGGGTTTGAGTTTATTTTGGTTAGTTGGCTTTTTTGATTTGGGGTGTTGTCGCAGACATCTTTCATGAAAAATCCTTTCTTAGGATTTTTCCTTGTGAGAAGCTGCAGTTTCAGCAATCAAAGTAAACAATGGTTATCTGCTGCTGTGGAATGCAACAGGTAGACCCGTGATTGGTCTCTTGTGGGTATTTGGATTTCTTGACCACTCATGGCAGAGCTGGCTCTTGCTCTGTCTGAGACACAGATCTTTGTTATTCATTCTTGTCTATTCTTAGCTTAGCTAGCTGCTGAAGAAACCTTTTCCTTTCTATTGCTTTTTAGTATAGTCTTAATGTAACATATATCATAAAATAATAAATCAAGCCTTCTGATCATGGAGTCAACATTCTCGTCTCTTCTTCATCCTGAAAACCCTTGTGACCGCAGTCACAGGGTGTGTGGTATTTTTCTGTTCCTATTGAACACACAGTATAATAGATCTGCCTTCAACCTGTGAACAATTTATAGTAGATTTCAAATTGCAGTAGAATTCCCCATTTCAAGTTGTAGTAGAATTCCCTATTTCCATCCCTGTCTTCTTCTCTCCCTATTTGATCTGTGGTGAGTTATTCTATGAATCCTGCAATGACACATTATCAAAGAGTAATTTTATAAACTGCTTCTCACCGTTGCTTTATATTGGTAAGTGTGCTGCATCCATAATTTAAAACAATTGAATAAATATGGCATCTGGCTGGGTACATTATATCAAGAAGTAAGGTTTAATTAATATTTGAGAAAAAGAGGGGCAGGTATTTACTGTTCTTAAATAACCTAATTTTTCTTACAGGGCTCTCTGTGTGTGCACTAATGGCTGGATTCCTTCATTTTGGGGAGATTCTGGAGGTCCCTTGGCCTGCACAGGGAAGGGCAGTAGATGGTACCTTGCTGGCATCGTGAGCTGGGGTGAAGGGTGTGCTCGGTGCAATTGTCCTGGTGAGTACACCAAGGTGACAGGACTTTACGACTGGATCCGTCGGAATACAAACTGGTGAGCCAAGGACAAAATGCCGATCACCTCTGTGTGAAAGCTGCTTCCTGCTGTAGTCAATTTGATGATACAACATGAAAATGCCATTGACTGTTCCTTGGTGAAAGAATACATTTTTTAAATGAAGAAACTATCATTTGTGGTTCATCTAGCAATTACTGTTCAGCCTCAGAGGAACTCCAGGCTCCTTATGGATCCATCTTCCTTATGGCTATTTGCAGAAACAGCACTGCCTTAGAAACAAAATAAAATGGATTATAACCTGTAACAAAAATCCAGCCATACCTCATTCATAACCCTTCTCTCCTTCCTTGTCCCTTGTTATCTATATTTATTTCCACATGTTATCTGGATAAAAATGGCCACATACCATATATACCATATATATTCAACTCTTTAGGTATGTTACAGGATTCTAAACATAAATAATTATTTCATTGTTCTCAAAAATATAAATAGTGTATTGTGTATAAACCTGAGATTATTTCTTTCCAGTTATGTGTGACTGCATGACTTTTACTTTCTGGGCTTTAACTTTTGGGGTCTCTACTGTGTTTTCTTAAAAATACCAGATATATAGCTCAAAAATGCTAGGATGCAAGCAATTTTCATTAAGTAACTGGAAGAGTATTGTTTAGGTTCTTTGGGATGATGTCTAAATAAAAGGAAGGAATGAATGAGTTGTAATTCATTCAAATTGAACAAAGAGAAACTATAATGTTTTCTTAAATTCCCTTCAGAATTTGAACCAACTGTAGGGTTTAATATTTGCAACATGTTACATGTGTAGTTCTCCAGCTCTGGCATCCATTGTGAATTTTTAGCATGTTCCTGGTAGGTTAGGATTTTTTTTCGTCCTGTCCTTGGTCCACAGTAAGCAGAGTTTCAGGCTCAGGAAATTTTTTTTTTTGTGTATCTTTCTGGGCTGTCCCCACAAGGCCACACTAAATTGAAATGGACATAGAAGGAAAATGGATTTATGTGGTTGGATGCATCCTTGGGCTCAATGAAAGTAACATAAGAAATGACAGCAACATTCCTTTAACCCTGGTAGTAAATCTAAGTTTTTTAATTTTAATCTCCTGATGAGCTTATCACTCCAAATCTAGCCAATTTAAGGTTTCCAAAGCTGTTTATGGGACTTCAGAATAACAGTACTTAGCTTAATAAAAGAATTGTCTAGATGGCCTTAAGACCATTTAGATGGTCTTTAAGCTGTGCTCCATATTTGGAAGTGTTTAGCTTTGACCTTTAATATTTATATTTAAAAGATGAAACTGGCAGTTTGAACACCTTTTATTGCTGTCCACACAGCACACTTACTCTGCAGTACATAAGTATGTGATCTTTGTTTAATGTCAGATGTACCTTGGCAGCATGTGGGGGAAATGTTGAAAAGAGCTAGCACTGTAATCTGCATGCAGTGAGACTGCTCTTTCTAACACTGTTATTTCTTTTCCTTCCTTTCTCCTGTTGGGCATCTTGCCCCAGCTTGTGTCAAATTTACAGCATAAGCTATATTCAAAGCCAGTATATTAGGAGGGTTGTTTCTTTAGTGGCTACTCAATTATTCACATCTTCCTTTTTAATAAACATGTGCTAAAACTGCAAGGGGCTATGTTTTGTTTGTTTGGATGTGCCTCTGAAACTCTAAACTCCATGTGTAATCAGAACTGCATTGGTGCCTTGGACTTTCCTGCTTTTGCAAAGCTGAAGGGTCAGAATTTCACATGGAAGAAATGGACAAAGTGTGGAAGTTAGATCCCCCAGATGAAAGAAAGACTTCAAGCAGTTTCTTCATAAATACATAAAATAAAATAAGGACTTTGGCCTTTGCATGGTGAGATCTGTATAATCATTAACTCTTTGTTTTAGAGGAACAGTTTTGATTTCAGACAATCCAGTAGGAAGGTCTGCTGTGAGTAGAAATTAAATAATTGAGTCCAATATTCTGCAGGAGTAGTGAGAACCAGATAAAGGCTTTTCTAGTGTCAGATGTCCCAAGTAAGATTTTGTAGATCCAGATACATGTTATGATCTTGATGACTGCTCAGTTTCACCTTCAGTCCTCCAGAGCTTTAAAGATTCTCAGAACCAAAATATGTGGGGTATACAATTTGTATTTCTTTTTACTTATGGAATAAACCTAAGACATGCTCACTTTCATGGAGTGCCTTTGTGTGGATGGGTGTGACGTGACATCAGGAATGCAAACCCTGGGTGTACTTCAGGCAGCAGAACCAAGGTGAGTTGCGCAAAGAGAAAATTGGAGTGGTGGGACAAGGGGAGAACTCCCTGAGCTTTTGGCAGGAAAAAGGATTGGTGCTGTGAGTGGAAAGGGGGTTAGGGAGAGAGGCTGTGTTTGGTTCTCAAAAGAGCATGATACTCCCCGTGCTGGGACAAAAGAGTAAAGAAGGGTGTGGTTACCAGCTGTCTGCCCAGACCTTTTGAGTCAGAGGGGAGAGAGATGTTCTGTGGGAAGGGAGAAGAAAATGGGGATGGAGTGTGAACAGGAGAAATAAGATGAGGTAGGATCAAGGATATTTAGGAGGCTGGGGTCGTAATGAGCCCCTGGCTACAGTAAGCTGTTATGAGTGACTCCTAGTGCACATGAGAGTGCATGTGGGAAGCTAGTGCAGACCAAATCACCACGGTTGTTTCATAAAAGCATGTCCTGCAGAGCACAGAATGAAATTGAAGCCCATCTTTCTCTTCTCTTTATCTCTGTCCTCTGGGGTTTTTTACCTGAAAGCAGTTCTCAGGTTTAGGTTGGATAGTATGTTAAAGGACATAAATGGTTCTTTAACACTAGATATGATTTTAGGCAGTATAATAGCTAGAGGAAGAACAATTTATAGCACAAAGGTCGTTAGTGTTCATTTCTTTATTGACTATAGAGGGAGACTAGAATCACAAGTGTGGACAGAGTCCCAGCATAAGCAAACAACATGCTCTATGAACTTTTACTCTGTTCGTGCTGATCAGCACCGCATCTGTTTAGCTACATGGATAACAGTAATAACATTTTATTGTTTTGGCTGACAGCAGCAGAGAAAACACTGGTTCCTTTCAAAATCATCCCAGCATTGCTGAAGGTTTAGTCACTTGCTTGTCAAGGGCTGGTACAGGCAGGTAGGCAAACTGGAAAACCTAGTATTGCACAGCTGAGAGTCAGAGTTCTCATGGCTATGCAAATCGATACTTCCTCTGCCTTCCCTTTCTCTGCAGCTAGGGCAGCCGACTTTATTTGCTCTTCCACGGAATTCCCCTAATTTAACAGTATTTTGAGACCTCTCCTGTGAACATTATCCCCACTCTTCCTGTTTCCAGCCTCGTGTCAGAGCAACCACTGACCATAATTGCAGCTGAAACAAGAAGGAAATGAGCTGGCTCCATGCTCACTTCAGAGACAGAGGTTCTCGCAGAGGACCCTCTTCAGAGACAAAAGCAATGAAAAGGCAGAGTTCTGCTCAGGAGCAAGAGATTATTGAATTACGGGAACATAATGTGGAGGAAAGTGAGACTGATCGTGACAAGCCTCTAAATGCTCAAACGAGAAAGGTAGGAATTTCATTTGGTCATTTAATCCTTCCTGTGGGGGAAATACTACACAGCAAGAGAAATGACACTTGAAGGAACATTTTGTTGAGGTTATTTAATTTCCTGTTTGAGGTAGAGGGAAAGAGGCTAAAAAAATGTTAAATGTAATTCTTTTTCCTTATCAATGAAGTGTTCTGAGAGTGGGATTTTAAGCATTAATTTAGGAAGTGAAACTGTAATTGGTTCTCTGAGTTTTGCTTTCTCTTCTAAAGTGCTATCAGTGGGATTGGGCTCAAAACCAGAAAAGTTGAAATAAGTTTTAAAACCAGGCTTTCTTTCAGTAGAAGTTAACCAGGAAACAGTGCTACCCAACAAAAATAAGATGTCCTCGAACAGAGCACACTGGATTCTCTTTATCTCTGAGTAATTTTCAGTTGCAAACCATTATGAATTTGTATTAACAGAATGCTCCAAGCCCTCAGTTAAGATCAGCACGTGAATCCTAAGGGACGTGGCTCCTAGTCCCCATTTTAAAGCTACAGAACAGACTAATTCTGGCAGAGGAATAACATATTCATACGTGACTGCTGTACAGTGAATTACACTACATACTGCAGGAGTATTTGTGGTTGTGCGAAGATGTTTCCTGCTTTTCTGTGGGCACGGCTGAGTGCCGGGAGCTGTCTGCCTGAGGCACCGCCCGTCCCTTCCCGCTCTTGTGACTTCACTTCTGCCTTGGGGGAGCCCCGCTGCTCATCGCTGGGGCTCATTCATTCCGCTGACTAGGCAAAAACCCCCTTTGTTCTCTTGTATCAGGGGTCAAGTTACTTCTCCCGTGGTCTGGAAAGCTGAATCAGCTCGCTGCAGGGCCAGGCACATTCCAGGAGGTGCAAAGAGGAGCAGCAGAGGGGGGAGGAGAGCCAGGGATCAGCTAGGTCTGCTGGACTATCTCGAGAAACCTTACCCTTGGGCTTATCCTTCCCCTTTCCAAAGCTGAGTTTTCATTTGAGCTCTCTTTATGCTGATTATAGCAAGTGGCTTCCCGTCCTAAACAGATTACTGGAAGTTACAATGCTCTGCTTTCTGCTCAGCTGGCAGAGTAATCAGAGCTGTCCTGCCCACCAGGGAGAGATATTTCTCGGCTGTTGTTGCTTCCCTCTGGCCTATTGGCAAAGTTCGGAAGGTGTTGGACTAGTTGTGGAACTGAATGTTTTCTTGGGATCAAGCCAGTTTGCTATGTATGATTAAGAGTTGTGTTTTGTGATAGCCTAAACATGCGGTGGTGTGGTATTAACATGCCCTCTGAACAGAGACATAATTCTCTCTCTCAGGTTTTTTCCTGGAGAAGCACAGAGGGAAAAAAAATTTATCTCTGCTTGCTGCTCCTGGTGTTTTGCACATGTGGAATGTGTTGGGAAGGTTGTTTACTTGAAGGAATTTGGTAACTGGATTCTGGCGGAGATTATTTATGTTAATTAGCTTATCGGGTCCAAGCTGTGTGGACTGTCGGTCTGCAGACAGTCACGAGTTGTTAGTTAGTGGTAAGTATTCTTTAGTATTCTTTGTAGTATAGTTATAATATAACATAACATAATATAATATAATTTTTTAAAAGCAAGTATTCAGCATTCCGAAGTTTTAGAGTCAGATGCAAATAATTTGCCTTTGTCGGGGGTCCTGATTTTACTATATGGTGGCTCAATCAAAACTTGGGCTTGACAGCTGCCTGTCTCTACTGATGGGGCTATGGCTGATTTCACAGTTGCACTCTAGGAAGTGGTTACTGGCTTTTAAAATTTTTTAAAATACAAAACTATATGCTAGTGTTAAGTATTAAATTGAAATTCATACTTCTATAATATATATATATATTTCTATAAAATATTTTAAAAATCGAATAACAAAAAAAGTAAATGAGATGACAGCTGAAAGCGTGCTGTCAACAAAACCATACTCCGTGTTTGCCTTTCATGCTCTAGCAGAGCAAAGTTCTGTGTGCAGAGGTGTCTACAGAGAGTGTTTTCCTTTTTCTGCCTCTGTTCCTGAAGGAATCTCTCTTGTAAGCGCTTTCTCTGTGTGTCTGTTTCCTCTCCCTGTTCCCCTGCCACCACATGGAAGCTTTTAGCCAGCTGCTCAATTCAGTTAAATTCAGTGAAAGCCTCTATGTTAGTCTGTGTTCTTAGAAAGTTCAAAAAGTAAAGGAAGGAAACCTGGATTATTGCCTCCAGCAGCAGCTGGTTTCTGCCAATCTGCATGTGTGTCCCAGACAACTTGCAGCTCGTGCTTTTCCTTACCTGGTACTGATGACAGAAAAGACATAGGGTTTGTTACTACCATTATGGTGGTTGGAGAGGGAGGGAGAGAAGTAATTAAAAAGACAGCATGGTCTGCTTATGAATTCAAGCCTTGCTTCAGTCTTCTGATTCTTCTGGCTGTGGAACAAAACAGATGAAATTATCTGTTTTGCCATCACCTAAGCTTACTCCTTCCCCCCCCACCTTTTTTTTTTAATACTTATCCTGTTGGATTAACTCATTAAAAGACTAATTTCTGTCATGGTTTTAAATCTTATAAAAATTAAATAACAGGCAAGGTCCTTTCTCTCCCCTATGAATGTACATACCTGCACAATTGCTTTGAGTCAAGTTTTCTTTTGACCTCATAGAGCAGGTGAGATTTGCATTAAATTTTCTGTTAAATACACTCAATAGCCTTCAAGTTTCCAATCTTCTGAAAAAAAAAAAAGTCAACTATAAAATTCTCAATTATTTTACAGAGGGTTTAAGACAATAGTATCTATTGAATAGCACTGCCTTTGCATTGGATGCTGGCATCCAGAAGCTGTGCAGGTTGACATCATCAATGCTGCAGAGGTGAATGATTTTGGAAATACCTCCAGAGACACGTTTTTAGTTGGGAGAGATGAAAAACATTAAAAGGAGCGCTTGTGGAATATACAAATTTAATTCACGTAGTTAAAAAAAAAACAAACGTGGAGCCAAGAAATCACCTTTGCAGTACTTTAGCTTTATGGGCCATTCAGGAGTTGGAACTTCTGCGCAAAGGGGAATTATCTCTCTCAAGTGAATGTCCTTTACCTTCTCTAGGTCTGCATTTTTTCCTGCAAGGCTGGGAACCCCTGATGCAGGGCATTGCTTACCAATGAGGTTCTCCCATCTATGTGGGGGTTTTGTTTCTAAGTGTGACAGCCGAGACATTTTTCAGTATTTTTTTCCTGCCTTATTTGATTAATCAATATGCCCTTCTCTTTTATACCTAGGAGAGAGATGCCTGGAAATCATGCAGGAATGTAGTTTTCTGGAAGTGTAAACTATGGATGGTTATATCTACAATATTTCTAGTGATCTTCCTGGTCATTCTCATCAGCCTAATTCTTTATTCTAGTAAGTATCTTGCTCTTGACTACAGTAATACAAACATGCAATATGTACACTCTAATAGAACACAAATGCAACAATAACATCCTTTAATGTCCTTCAGTAAACTGCTGAAGGAACTGGGATACTGACTGAAGAGGGTGGTATTGTAGTTCAGTAGTTCTTGTGAATGCTTTTATCTTAGCAGGCAGCAAGCCACTTGTATCCTGATCAGGTGACAGTTCAAGTTTGTAGCTAAGAAAATATCACAAGCAGAGATTTGGATATGAGGACAGAAATTATGTTTGTAATGTTGGAACAAGTGCCATGGATGACTTAGGTCCCATGGGGTCATTGCCTGTCAGACTCCCAGAGCAGATGACTTTTGCTAATGGAGGTTGGTGGTTCACTTCCTGGTGCTGTCACTTTTTTCAGGTGACTTGCACTTTCTTTCTGTCTTTCCCAGTCAGTCCTTACCTAAGAAATCTATGAGAAAGCCAAGTGGGTTGTTTTTCAATACTTCAGCTATCTGAAACTTTTTTCTCCCCTTTGTGTCTCCTTTTAATTATTAGATGTTTACACAGATGAGGATGACTACTGGGATCCTGATGAATTACTAAGCAATGGAAATTTTCATAATTTTTCAGGAACATTGGAGTTAATGTGTGGTCTCCCACACTTCTCCTCCGAGGACATTACTAAGAGGGTAAGTGTTTATGTGATTCTTGGCAAAGTTGATTCTGCTTCAGTGTTTTGCCTTTTAAGTTTCTGTTTCTCTGCGTAGCAACTCAGTCATTTGCAAGTCCACAAATAAATTGTGTTGTACTTTTTAAAGTCACAATCTAGAAAAAAAAATAATTGTCTGCTTTTAAGGACAATAAAGTATTGACTTTATTCCCATAAATTTGACCATTTGTAAAGACATTGTCTTCACCTTTTTCATAGAATCATTGAATAATTTAGGAGAGACCTGGGAAAGTCATCCAAGCATAATATGGGCTAAACATCCTGTGTGCAGCATTCTCTTATGAGTACATGATTACAGTCTGGGTTTATAGCTGTGATTTCTGCTGAGCCAGCACAGCTCTGCGTTACAGCTGAAATATGCTCAGCATACATGGCAGTTATCATTTGGACATGGTGGGAAGGCAGTCTCAAGACAGAGACTCTCCCCCCCACAAAGTAAGAGTTAGAAGAGCCTTTTGGTACTAATTAGATCCCAAACCTAACATTAGTTGCATATAGCAACATGAGCACACACTTTTAGTTCACCTTGAGTGCCCCCATTGTGTTAAGGTTACAAAGCAATCACTCAAATGTACAATTAACTTGTCTGTCAAATTTAAATTACTCTCTACCTTTTCGAGGGCAGATATTTGCTGTTATTTGACCTTCGGCTCCTGTTTTTATGCTCGTTAAAGCACTTTGTGAAAATGATTTGCTGTGCTTTTTTTTTCTTTGTGAGAGCAAAAAAGAGATTGAATAGAAGAAACATTTTTCTTCTCTCTCTCTCAGCTAACAGAGGTCTACAGCTCGTCTCCAGCTTTAGGACGTTACTTTAGGTCAGCTCAGGTGATTTCTTTCAGGTAAGCAATTTCTGTCCCCAAAGTTATCTGAAAATTACAGGCTTCTGATAAGACATACATGTGCTTATGTAAATATGTACACTATTTAAATCTCTGAAAAATAGGTTTGTTTGGGGAAAATTATGTGTATAGGCAGTGAAAACTGGTCAAAGGATCATCTGATGTAAGTGGTGAATGCTGCTAAAATTACATAATGACAGCAACATATTGTTGCTGTGAAGTATCATCTCTGTTATCTTTGGTTCCAATTGCAGCCCTTAAGAAACATATTCAAGGATATTTATTAAAAGAAAAATTAATTGCTGGAAACGCTTAAGATTGATGTAGTTTAAATAATCTTAAATATATGAAACAGGGTTCATAGGGAGGAGAGAATCATTTTGTTCCCAAAAAACATAAAGGCAAGAGGAATATACATGTCTCCTGTCATGGAGAGATAGCAGGAAGGCATGGGAAGACAGAGAGCTTTCCCAAGGACTTCTGAAAAAGAACTCTTACAAAAGAAATTAGAAAGATGGGACAAAATCAAGGGAAGTAGTTTTGCAAAGTCCCAGGTGCTTTGAGATAGCAATGACAAAGGAATAGCCACATTGCAATGTGGCTAGTGGCAGTTGCAAAGGCACTTTGCTCCCTTGAGCAATATGCTCCCTTGCCCTGCCAGCCTTGGGCATGCCAGCTTTGTTCAACAGTGAACTGTAGCTCCTTAGCCTTATGGGTACTAACTATGATTTAGACCATCAAGTACAAAGCTGTAGTTCTACACATATATTGATTAGATAGTAACTCTCTCTGCCTCTTTGATGCCTCTCTCTTGTTCTCTCCCTCTCTTTCTTTCCTTTTATTTTCCCCCATTCAAGTACTTTTTGAAGATGTTTTGAATTCTGTGAGTATAGAAGATAGCTGTTGAATTGTAGTCAGTTTTGGTAGACCACAAAAAATGAAATCTCCACAGATGGTCTCCAGTTCACTGGTTTGTGTAATCCACTCCAGAGCTGAGTCAGGAGCACAGCTGCATGGTCACAGATACTGCTAGCAGGAAAATAAACATTCCTACAGGTTTCTAGTGAAACTATGCACAGGATATTGCAACACTTCTTTTAAGTAGCTTCTTGTGAAGCACAAACTGCATCCCATCAGAACACATGTCCATTTGCCCCTCATGGTTTTGAAAACATGTCTCTGGCTGGCTTCAAGTACGTACCCAGTTTCAAGAGCTGTTCTGAGAAGGGAGGCAGAAACTGGCATCTTCGGCTGTTTTCTTTTTTGGGGAAATGTTTTTTTTTAAAAAATCTATCCCAACATTGATACGAAAAGTCAGTCTTTCAAAAAAAAGAAAAGACACTGTTGACACTTGAAGACATTCATCCTTGACTTTGTTTTTCAGTAATGAAAGCTCCACCGTAATTTATCAGCTAGTGTTTTCTGTACCACCATCAACAGAGGGATTTATAGAAAACAGTATGAACCCAGATTTTATAAGGAACATTTTACGTCAAAATATTTATGATGAAGATACTCTTAATCCTGGGACATCTGAATGTGACAGGTTAAAGCTCAACCCGACTTCTCTCACATGTAAGTGCTGTACCTTAGAGAAACTGTTTCTTTACAGAGAGCAGAAGTATTTATGTGAAAGGAGGGAAATACTTCTAGAAAGATATTGAGATTCATTAGATTATATGATTTGCATAACAGTATTAAGGATATTTTAAAATAGCTTTCAGAAAGTCTTGATATGCTTAACTTAAAACCTGGGACTCACTGTTTAGTCCTCTGATGAGAAAGGGAATAGTGATGAGACTGGTTAGCTGTGGACTCCAACCAAACTTTTCTGATTTAATATTGCATTTTATCTGTACAGAAAAATTCTCCTTGTATGTATGTGTACCATAATGGGGAGACAAATAATTAAAAATATTTCTCCTTATTGTACATTTGGTTTTGAATGCTAACAAAACAAATTTTAATCCAAGGGATGAAAAAGAGTCCTGATTTTTGTCCTTCTGTAGTTTTCTGGAAAATTTATGATATACAGAAATACCTGTAAAGGAAACAAATGTTTATTCTTCCAGGTTTTCTAGGCGATGACTACCAGTGACTAGGTAGAGATTCCAATGCATTTATATTTGTCCTGATAGAAATGCCCATATAAAAATCCTATGAGCTTTGAAGCTATACTAAATGCATGGAACTGCCTCCCCCCAGTGCCAATTTACTGAGTCACACCTGTGTGCTTTTAGAATATTCCTAGGCTAACAATTCGTCATTGCAGTGTAGGTAAGTAAGGTTTGTAATTAACTTGTATTGGTTTTTCATGGGATTCTTACCAAGGGACAAGAGATCAACAGGTCATGAGTTCCAATTTTTAGAAGAATTTTATTCCTTATATAATGACAGGATTCTTAGGAAAAGAGTGTAAAAGAGGACAGGAAAGAATATGTTGAAATGACTGGTTAAAGTTTTGTTTTAATGTTAATACAGTACCATTTTAACTTTCAGAGAAATTATGGAAAGATTCTTCATCTTCATCACTACCTTGAAGAGATGCGATTCCCTATCTACAAGTAATCCCAGGGCAGGGAACTATTCATTAGGTAGAAATACTTCTAAAATTGTTGTCCTGTAAATACTGCCTGTGGTGCAATACTGTAAATGGAAAATGTGGTATATATATGACAGTGTTGTATTGCTATAGCACCACCTCCTTCTTCTATATCTCAGTAATCCATTTCACCCTTGAGAAAGTCATGTATTTGATGCATGCTCTGTTGACTTTGAAACCTCTGCTTTGTCTTGCCTTATGATTAAATCTGAATGTTCTGCATGAGCTTTGAAAGCAGTCTTGCACATGGCTCCTTTCTTCTTCTCTTGGCTTATGCAAAATTATCTGTACAGCTTCATCTTCAATGCTCACTTCCACTCAAATCCATATATGTTATTTTTTTCTCTCCGCACTTCATATGACAAATTTATTTGTTGGTCTTTCCTTGTAAAACAGCTTGAAAACCTAAATATAGATATATATGTGTGTGTGTGTATGTGTATATATATGTATTTGTATTCTTTAATTACATGCAAGGCCTTTGCACTAGCTTCTTAAGAATGCTTTAGCTTTCATAATTTTCTTATTCTTCCTACAGCCTCCTTGGATAAGGTGCTCTTGCTCTATTTTTCTCTTCTTCAATGTGAAATACAAAAGAAGAAAGCAACAGCATGAAGAGACATGTCTTGTTCACTAATGCAGCTGAATGTCACAGGAATATTTTAAGGGTTGAATTAGCAGTGTGCTTTTACAGTTAGCTATTGCTACTAGTGAATAGATAGATACTTGACCTGTTTTTGTAAATCTGAAGACTAGTCTATATCCTTAATTATAGTTCCTGCCTAGCACTGGGATAAAAATGAACAGATGTAAGGTATTTGCCTTAATAAGGCAGTAAATAGTAGCTCTTGTTGATGAGAGACCAGAGGAAATGAATCAGTGCCAAGAAGATGGTGCTGGAGCAGAAGAGATAGGCCAGAGCGGCGCAAAAGTTACAGGCAGCAACTGGCTATAACATAAAAATTAAGCATTACCTTTATGCAGAATGGAACATATTCACTACCATGTGAGTGAACTACATCTTGTCATTTATTTATAGTCTTATAAATGTTAGTACTATTGGATAGAACTTTTATTTTAAGAAGCATTTTGTACTGTTAGAAATGTAATGAAATTTTTTTTTTCTCTTTCTAATATTACTAGTTTATTTAGGAGTAATCTGATGATATTATTTTGCATTAAATTATTTATTTTTTACTCTCAAAGTGACTGTTTTCATTCTTTAGCAGCTCTAGTCTTTCAACTGTGTGAGTTGGAAAATAGTCATCAGAATTCTAAATGCTGTGCTGTATGAACCATGTCTGACTGAGGTATATGCTCAAACTCATAGTTGTTGTTCTTGCATGCATTTAAACTGAGCTTGGGAAACATTCTGGACCAAATTAGTAGTTTGCATGACTCTTATATTTGCAGCTCATTCTGATTCTCTCTTGGTTTGTAAGATGTAGGAACTATAATTTCTCTTGCTGTAATAATCTATGCAGCATACAGGTAGAAGAGAGATGCCTTTTGATTCTTATGCTGTGGAAGGATAAATGTCATGGTTTATATGGCTTGTCCCAAAAGCAGCAGGCTATGAAAGTACCAGCAGCAAAGAAATAAATTGCTTTTGAGATGCTGCTCAATTTTATTGCTCTCACCAAGACACCTGATCCTTTCCTTGAACACTTCCATATCTTGATTCTAGGAACTGAAAAATAATATAATGATTAAACTTCTTTATGGTCATACCTATATAGGCATTAAGAGTTGAGAAAGGAGTCAAGCATTCATTTTTTTTCCCAGCCATCCTCTTCTATGTCTGTACCTTTACCCCAGAACCTCACAGGAAAGAAGAAGGTGGAGCTGTAGTAAGATGTGATATTCAACAGAAAATGTCTGACTTTACAGACTGCATCCAGTCAGGTTTTGAACACTCATTGAAGGAAGTGTCAAAAAAAAAGTAGTTTCTGGTTATATATCTGTCATTAGAGACACAGCAGTGTGAAAACACATTATTACATCAAGTAAAAAAATTAAAATTTTTAAAATTTTAAATTACTTTTAAATTAAAAAGTAATTTAAAAGCACATTATTACACCACAATATATTGTATGAATGATCAATATTAATTTTAATAGAAGGAACGAGGATAACACTTTAATGACTTGGACAACTGAGACATTGTTAAAAAGCAGCTTGTGGAGTGTACAATCGGCCCTTTAAAATCCTATGTCAGGTGTTATCTGTGTACCTACAGCAGCCAGTATGAGTTTTGGGCAGACTCAGCTGCCTGCCACAGCAGTGATACCTGCACATGCTGTAGTGTGTCCATCCACTGCTCCGTGCACTTGGCCATGGGACTATCCCCAGCATAGAAATTGCAGGTGGGATAGTCACAAAGGCACTGCACCATAAAGCCAGGGCTGCAGCCAGCAATCACATACAAAGGAAGACTTAGAACTGTTCAACATTTTCTTCCATACTGTTTTGTTACAAAAATGGAGGGAGCGGAAAAACATGCTTAAGCAAGAATACAGGGACATAATCACTTTGTGAGCTCTGGTAAACAGCTAAATACCCGGTTTTAGTCCTTTGCACATGTCCAGACTGCTTGCAGAGGTGGGGCTGGGCTGTGAGGAGGTGGTACTCTAGCATTGCAGAAGGCCAAACTGGAGACTCCAGCAGGAGTGAGCTGTGGAAGCATTGTGTCACGGAAATAGTACCTGGACTCCTGCCACTGAGAGGTAATTATCAGCATCAGTATCAACAGTTTTCTTGTGGGTGTAATATTTGTTTTGCATGGATTTTATTGTTTTCAGGTTTTTTATTTAATTCCAACTTTAATACTTCACGCTAAGTAGTATTACATTAGAAGGGGGGAGGGGGGGAATTTGAGAAATGAGTTCTTTTAAAATAAAAATTATGCATTGTATAAATCAAGCATGTCAGAGAAATTTTGGACAAGAGTAAGTGCATCTAACACAAGGTTTATGCTTTCATATAAAACATGAAACATTCTCCGAACAGAAAGACCCTGTTATTATTGCATTTTTGAGATTTATAGCAGTAGTTCTTTAAGGACCCTTTAAAAAAAGAAGTATTCTAAAAGTCCAGAATAACGTACAGCCTTGGTTGCTTAAAATATTGTAGCTCCTAATTTTCTACAGAGGAACGTTGTCCTATGATGGCAGTTGCTACTGATTCCTCCTGGTTTAACTGTCAAGTCCTGTACCCAGTCCATGTTTCTTTCTCTGATCAGCTGTTCATGGAAAGGTTTGTCTCATAGTAAATGACTGCTAGACGTAGCCTAATGAGTAAGCTTGGTAACAAGATAGGTATTTGTTTGAAAACCCAACAGCAGAGGGATGGTCATTATGGCTGCACACACTCAGGCAAAAGAATACCTTTTAAGTTACCAGGACATCATCATATTCACTATGCTCTTCAGGGCTGGTGACATTTGCCTTCCCTTCGGGCACACTGGTAAGTGCATATTCTGTCTGGTAATTGCTGTCAATCACAGAGATTTTGTGTTTTACATCATGGCTGACAGTCGAGTACCACAGTTCACTGGAATTCGTAGAATCTTTTTTGGCAATGTGCTCCTGAGGGGGAAAAGGGGTAAGATAGAAAGAGCAAGGCTTCAGTATGGTTATACCCTGAAGAAGTTTGGAGACGTGAGCAGGTCTGGTATAGCCTGTTGACTAATACACTCAGTGTTTGGTTTGTAAATCCACGGTCATTTCCCAGCTGTCTGGGCTGTGGCTGCACACCTGGAGAGTTCAACAACCCACAGCCCCGCTTGGCGGTGCTGACACCGTGGAAGCTCATCACCACATGAGGGACCAGACCAGTGCCAATGGAGCCGGGCAGCCTGCATCAGCCCGGGCTCTGGCTCCCCCCAGGGCTGTCCCGGGAGAAATCATCCCTGTGGCAGATCATCTCTGTGACATCTACCCAAGCAGGGAATGGGAGCTGATGGGCAAGAAGGGAGAGTTTCATGGAACATTTTATCGATGTGTGTGAAGGGAGAGCATTTGGGATTTGAAAAACACTTAATATGGGGTGTTTAGGGAAGGAACTGAAGGAAGGTGAGTTAGGGTGACTTGCAGAATAAAAAGCATAAGAAAACAGAGGAAGAAAGGGAGGGACAGGAGTCACAGCAAGCTGCCAGAGAGACTGTAGGGTCTGGGAGGCAATTAAGACCCCAAGTGCAGTGTGTGTGTGTGGCTGTCCAGGAGATGCACTGTCCTGGAAGGGGCCCTGGCCTCTCCAGAGATGAAGTGAGGACTAATACCTTCCCCAGCAGCCCTCACCTGATGTTGTCTTTGAGAACAAAGGGAAGAGAAAGAAAAGCCATTAGTGAAGAAGGAGGTAAGACTGTGTGGGCAAATGCCTTCCCAACTCTGTTTAGACTTGTCCCTCCTTTTGCCTCCTGAAGGTGTTTGCTAATGGGTTGTGGGTGATTGTGCATTAAATAGTTAGCAGGATGACTCATTAAATCTAAAGGGCCAGTGTGCACTGATTAGGTGCACTTTGACTTGGAGCCAGAAGTCAAAAATTTTTTTGCCTGTATGTTCTTGATTTGAGTGCACTAGGTACTGAAGCCAGTGATTAACTACTGGCTTTATAGTGCTGTCCTCTGTTGTCTGCAGTAGTGGCAGTATTTTGAGTGAGTGTTGCTGGGTTTGTGGAGACATTTGTAGTTACCTTCCACACTCTGTAAGTGAAACAGAAGTCTCTGTTTCATGGGTTTAAATCTCCAAAGGGTTAGCTTTTCTTTTTCAAGCCTAGAAGAAGGACAATGTTAAAACAAAATTCCTGCAGAATTTGCCTTGAATTTTCCAAGTTTATGCAAATCGTATTGTCTGTTTAGATTCTGCTTTGCATGGAAGATCTCCTGACCATGAGAACACTTCAGTGAAAATAAATTCTGATTTGAGGTTTTATAAAGTTTTGAGATGTAAAAATTCCAGAAATTTTAAGGAGCAGAACCATCAGCATATACTTGCTTATCATCGAGTGCATGGCTCTCTCCTCCCCATGTCATGATTGCAAAGATGGAAGGACAGCAGTATTTCTCTTAATCTACCTGTGAAATGAGAATAGGTAGGCTCTTAATTTTCTTGAGTGAGCGGCTCTCAATCCATTGAGTGAAGTGTGGAGCATCCCTTGTCCCTTCAAACACATAGGCCTAACCAAGACTTGCTCTGAGTCACATCTTCCAGAGTCCTTCCAGTCATCATGTTTTGAAAGGCTGTTATCAGCAGCCTTTTCTTATCAGTAGGGAGGCTGAAGTGCAGAGGTGGAATGATTTATCCCACACACCAATGGAGCAAATGTGAAAACTTCCATTATTCACAGGCCAAGTTTAACACTCAAAAGGGGCATCTTTCCTATTGCACTAACATCCTTGCAAGCACTGTTTTCAAACCACGCTCTGTGGCTTTTCCTTGGGACACCAAAAACTCTCAAAACCAGACAGTTACTTGGCAGGCTCCCCATTACAGTTCCACCCCCTCCTCTTCCCCCACAGTCAATCCCACATTCACAGGTACAAATGATGAGTTCACTTCATCACACCCTTTTCTGTCACCTTGCCCACTTTCTTCAAAATTTTCTGCTAAACACCCACTTATCTGCTGGGCACCAACTTTTGCTTTACTGATGTCATCTTTGTTAGAAAAAAAACCCAAAAAAACCCCAAAAAACAAAAACGAAACAAAACCAAACCAACTCAGGCTGCTAAATGGCAGCACTTCATTCTGCAGTACATAGGGTTTCTGGTGATTGATTGTCATCAGGGACTCAAGGGGCAACTTCATTTACCCTCTGCTAAAATGCACTGTTTTTACAAAGCAGAGGCAGCAAACCACAGATACTCAGCTCCTGCCTCTCTGAGCTCAGCATATTAATACACACAAACAGCCACAGACAAACAACACACAGGACTGTGAAGTGCAACAGATGAGAAGTGGCTGTTCCCCAACCCTGCCTTCCAGGATGATTAATTTGGATAGAGAAGCAGGGCAGACACCAAGTTATAGAGTTACCTCTTAAATTACTCTAAGGTGC